TAAACAGCCGAAAACAAGACCCTAATATAGTATAAATAGTATAATATGTCAACCACGGCACTCATTGCATTAATAACAATGATTATACCAAGAACTCATGGACTGTACTGTCTGTACTATTAATAATTGATAAATAACAATCGTTATAATTTGTTTAAAAAAAAAATACAATGTTTCACGTTTTTGTGAAATATTTCACCATGTAGTGAAATATTTCAAAATGAAATATTTCATACTTCAAACACTAATATTTTAATATTGAAACCTAACAATTTATCATAATCGAAGAGAGCGATTTCCCTATCTGGTTTTTGACTAACTGAAATAAACATCTACACCATTTTCAGTCGCAGTTCATTTTTTTGTTAAATCAAAGTATAAGTACTTTATAATTTTTTACAAAATAAGTTTTAAATTACTTTCGAGCTGTGAAGTGGCATTGTTGTAACAGCCCGTTACGAAAATGAATTATCAAGTTCCTACCCCTTAAATTCATCTAATGATTCAGATATCAGATTCATAGACAGGATGAGAGAAGGACTGTCTCAAGATCCCAAAATAATATGTAGGTAACACCCAGCGTTAAAACAGACCCCGCTAAAACATTTGGCAGTTCACACATAACCCCAATATTCACCAAGCCAATATTACACATGTTTGTAGATAAAAGTATTAATATTAAAACATAATTATTGTTGTTCTTAAATTTTAGGTATTTAAGTTTGACATGTGAATAACAGATATGAGAAATGATATTCATTTAATAAACTTGGAAGATATTTTTTACTTCTCATCACGATTAACAAATTATGTTACCTAAATTCTTAACTATATTATTAAAATTAAACATTTTTTTTTAAAACATTAAGAATGATGACCTATATCTTAGAATATATTTTTAAATTTAACCTTGTTTTCTAGTCTATTTTTTTTTAGTTTATTCCGGCCCTTGTAGGTCCATCGCCGCTTCTACTACACCTCTTCATACTTCTCTGTTCTTCACAAGTTGTTCTCCCTCTCGTATTCCTAGGAGCTTGAGGTCGTCTCTGACTCCGTCAGACAAACGTTGTCTTGGTCTCCCTCTCGGTCATTTCTTGTCTGGTTTCCATAACGTCATATTATGCACTGTTTGGCACTCCGCTCTCCAAATATGTACCTAACAGCCCAGCTTATCCGTCTGCTAATTCCTACTATATTTGTTTCATTGAATATTGCCCCCAACTCTTAATTAGTTCTTCGTTCATACGTGTTCTCCTCGTTTTTTTTGGGCCCATATAGATTCTACGCAATATTTTTCTTTCAAATAGTAGCAGTCTTTTTTTGTCCAACTTTTTTGATGCCCACGCTCCACAGGTATATAGGACTATAGGTTTAATAAGCACTTCATATAATCTTAGTTTTGTATTTCTGGAAAGTAATCTTAACTTAAATAATGGCACAAACGCAAAATAGCACTTATTTCCTGCCGTAATTCTCCTGTTAATTTCTTCGTGGCTATTTGCTTGTTAGTTGATATCTACTCCTAGGTATTTAACGTTTGATACCCTTTTGAAGGTAAAGTCTCCAACTACAAACGGATCTTATACATGTTCTCTTCGTGATATTATTAAATACTTTGTTTTTGCTCATTAACTTGTAGTCCAATATCTTTCCCCTTACTTATTAGTTTTTCTGCCGTCCGTATTATATCTTCTTCGGTTTCTCCTAAAATTATTACGTCGTCCACATATGCTGCTAGTGTTATTTGATGTCCTTCTCCTATGCCCAGACCCGTGGCATCAACAAGTACTTCTCTTACTACTCACTCTAGGGCTATGTTAAATAATGTAGGGGACAAAGCATCTCCCTGTCTATTTCCCAAGACCTGTTTCTACGGAGAAATTTTCAGATAACTCTCCGTTGAACTTAACTTTACATTTAGAATGCTGCACGCATGCCTTTATCAGTCTCACCAGTTTTTCAGGGATTCCAAGTTGAGTGATTGTTTTCCAGAGCCTATATCGATTTATGGAGTCATACGCCTGCTTGAAATTAAGAAATAGTAGGTGCACATCTATGTCGAACTAGTGGCTTTTCTCTATTTGCTTAATCGTATGCATTTGATCAACTGTAATTTCCCTGACATAAAACCCGACTGATATTCTCCTATTATTTCCCTTGAGTATGGTTTAATTCGGTTCAATATTATGTTCGATACTATTTTGAAAGATGTGATTAGTAGGGATATTCCTCTGTAATTGTGGTAAACCATAGGATCTTCTTTCTTGTTAATCGGGCATAACACTGATCCGTGCCATCTTGTTGGTATCTTTTTTTGTTTCCATATACTCGTATTATCTACTAGCCATTTTAGCTGTGCCATTAGTTCTTTTCCTCTTTCTTTCAGCAGTTCAGCAACAATTGCATCATTCCCTGGCACCTTCCCATTTTTAAACATATCTACTGCCCTTTCCACTTCTTCTATCGTGGGTTCTTCTAATCTTTGTTCCACCGTGCTGAGGTTTTCTTTCRCGTCTACCTGAAAAGGTTGATTCAGCATTTTATCAAACACATTCTTAAACTCATTTGCGACCTTTTTCATATCCGTTATTAATAATCCCTTTCCATCCTTTATAATTCTTGATTTTGCCTTAAATCCAACCTTAATCTCATAAGATTTTTTTCAAAAAAACATTTTTCTTGTGACTGTTTTATATTACTTCAAGTCTAGAGTTTTCCCATGCTCTTTTCTTTCTTCTAAACATTTGTTTGGTTTCTCGTTGCTTAATTGCGAGTAATCTTTTATTCTCCTCACTTGGGTCTTGTAACATTTTTGTTCGTGCAAAATCTCTTTCTGTACTTGCTGCTTTACATTGTTCATCAAATCATTTTTTTCTTGATTTTATTTTTTCAAATCCTAGGATTTCTGTGGCCACCGTTTTGACAGGTTTTTTAATCTACTTTGTTTGATCTCTCCATCAGACGAAAGGTATCTTTTAGCTTATTCTTGTACTGTCTTTTGATTTCCTGATTTTTCASACCTTCTGTTTTAAACCTTCTGATGGAAGCGGCCTTTCTTCGTCATTCCACTGACAAACGTAGTTAGATTTTTGCTCTTACAATAAAATGGTCAGACATTGCGCTGCTACCTCTCAGGCTCCAAACATCCATGATGCATCTCTTGATCCGTCTATCAACTATAATATTGTCTATTTGGTTCTTTATTTTTATCTGATGGTGATACACAAGTTTCTTTATGTATATTTTTATATGGAATTGTTACTACCATATTTCTCATCGTAGCGAAATTAACTAATCTTGTTCCATGATCGTTTGAAACTTTATGTAGACTCTCTTTCCCAATTGTTGGTCTGTATATTATTTCCTGTTCTATTTTTGCATTGAAATCCCCTAGTAAGATTTTCACTTTGTTGTTAGGTACCAGGTCACATACATTATCCAAATTTTCGTAAAACATATTCTTAACCTCATCTTCTTTGTCTTCAGTTAGAGRCTTTCTAGTCTATAGTAAATAAAATTAATAGAACGTGATCAGTACCATTCCCAGGTATTACGAGGCTATGGACTTGCAATATTTTATGCCAAAATGTTTGGAGATATTTTATTTACACGATGTTATAGTGTATTATTTTATATACTCAAGGCCCTTGGAGGGCGTGTGCCTCGTTTGTCCTTCCCTCGGGACGGTACTGGACGTGGTATTCGCATGTGTTGTTCCATCTTACAAGTGCGTAACATACCAAACTTTACGCTCAGCAGATCACGTTTAACTAGGTCCTAGGTTGGTTCACAAATTAGGGAGAATTTACCTCTTATAAAACATATAGGTAAGAGTATTATTTAGACAAGCTCATGGTCTTTTTACTATATTTTAATTTTGAAGCGAGTTATAAAAATCGTAAAATTTACAAAAAATTTACAATTTTAAAATACTTATAACTCGCTTCAAAACTTAACTTTACTAAAAAGTCAAAGAGGTCGTCTAAATAATACTATTACCTAMCTTTAAATTTTATTAGAGGTCAATTCACTCTTATTTTTATACTAACGGAGCAAAATCTGATCTTCTGAGCGTAAAATTTGTTATGTTACGCACTTATAAGACGTGAAAACATATTATGTGGATATCACGTCCTCCAGGCCCGGATAGGCCAGTCAAGCATTCAAAATCTCGAGGCTCCTCCTGACGTCCTCTTAATAAAATATAGCTATATTACAGATTTAACTGATATGACTATAAAACAAAAAAGCCAAATTTGATATTAACTAATTAACATTTTTTAATTGGGTTATGTTGTGTCTTGCTATTTTAATTTATCATTGAACTTAAAACTATAAATACTCTAATGCAATCTCTATTTATCATTTTATTCAATTTTAAATGTTGAGAACAATAAATTATGAGGTATTATTTTAGATAATGTAGGTAGAATAAATTAATTGATTTTATAATTATAAAAAAATATGGAATTGCATTTATTTAAAAAAATATTCAATGATTAACAATTATAATAAAATAACATTTGAATATCAATAAATATTAAAAGKTATATAGAAAAATAATTTTAACATAATTATTGCAAGTTAAATTTTAATATTTGAACCAGATATCACGACAAAGCAACCACTATATTTGCAATCAGTAGAAGAAGAATTATCACCCAAAGTCCTGTAAATAATTAATTAATTAATATTTTACAATGTATCAAAGCAAACTAAATACCTCGAGTTGAATCTTTTTTTAATATCTGAACTACTTCCTTGGTTTCGTTTTCAATTCCAGCAGTTGTTTTGTCTATCTTCACCAATAAATCATCTACTAGTTCTGTAATATAATAATTTTCTTTTATAGCCAACCATAACAAATAACATTTTATACTGACCATTTTGTAGATCAACTTCACTGCTTATGGTAATCGCAATATTTTTCTGTCTCGACACAATTGACGCTAATTCATTTAATCCATCGTCCTGTTCTATACAATAAAAATGAACAATGTACATCATAATTTATAATTTTATGACTTAAATCTAAGATCAAAGTCTTAATATTTTTTACCCTTTACCTTTGATCAAGTACTGTTGCTGTTGTTTAAGCACTTTCTCACTAAGTAGAGGTTGTTTGTCGTCATTATAGTCATCATCATCACTATCCAGCCAACCAGTAGTTGGCATTTCAGTTTTTTTAGCCTTACTAGTACTTGGTCTCATCAATTCTTGACGTTCGAGTGTATGACTATTATTCCTAAAAATAATATCATAAGATYATATTTAAAATGGTTTATAATTTGTACATAATTTATTAAATATTAACAACTATTGAAAAAATTAAAAAACAATTTGGCAAACAGTTTTAAAAATAATACATCACCTATTTTGAAAACGTTGATTTAATAAAATATTTCTGCTTTGTAATAGCTCAAGCTTACGTTGACGTCGTTCCTCTTCATCTAATGTCCTATGTTAAATAACTCAGGAAATTTTAATGGAAAATAAAAAAAATAAATACTTTAAATTATATTTTAAAATTTTAAAGCAAAGGATACACAGCTTTAGATTTTGCAAGTTCCCTAAGTTTATGTGATAACTGTTGGACTTCATCAGTAAACTGTTTCAGTCTAAGCCGGACTTTTGATGAATACAAAACATATTTTTCGGAAGACTTTTGCTCTAATTCTCTCACATTTAATATTCCTTCAATTTCTCTATATAACTTTTCACATGACTCGTATTCAATTAACCTGAAAAAACAATTGTATTCAAACAGAACCAATAAAATATATAGGTATCTATATTATTTTGAATATTCTTCAAACATGTCACATCAATGAACCAACTGATTTTAATTTGTAACAAATGTGAATAACATGACCAATTCRATTTTAATCTATTATTCAACACCATAACTAAGTACTAATTTGCTACATTCAGTTCAGCAAATTGAATAGTACAAATGTAMAATTGTCGACTTACCAAGGATCGTTGTCATTGAACACAAGAGCCATGATAGCGCGTTAGGCGTCTCAGTTGGTATTGATCATTGCAATTCACTGATGATAGTGGCCTTTCTAGATACCCACTAGAGATTTTCTAGGTTTGCCCTCAGAGGCGTACTTAAAATATGTTAAATTCTTAAATAGTGATTCGGAACGACAGCAACATAGACAACTATATTAAAACAAGAATTTTGCATATAGTTTAAAAAATACTCATTTCCTCAGTGATAGTTACAAACTCACATAATTCATCGAACTAGGACCGCACAGTATACTTTCGAATCCGGACGACTGTACTCTGCAGCCTGCTACTGCTATAGTCTGGACAACGCATTAACGCACGCAATTACGCTAGAGCCAAGAGGCAAGAATATAAGATTTGTTTATTCGTGACAATACATGTTTTTCGGCGTTATCTCGACTGGCGAGTGGCTGTGATAAGGAGCGGCTGTTTTTATTTTTGTACAGCGGCCGGCCGCCGTCGTCATCTGTTGCCTCCAACACCAACGCTGCCGCCGCCGACGCCGACGACGACGTCACGACGGCACGACGATCCATTTCTCCCCCCCCTACTGATCCTACAGTCTGCAGACTACAGTCCTACTCCTCCACAATCCTCGTGAGTCGTGATCGGCGCGCGCGCTGGTCGGATCAATTATCMTCGTCGCGTATCTAATTTTTTCCCCTACCAACCCACCGCCACCGCATTCATCGTCACTACTTCACTAGTCAGTTCAGCAGTTCAGCTCTTCGCACCGAACGTCCGCTCTCGTCCGCGCACGCCGTCTGCTGTGTGTTTCGGATACATTCACTTTTAGCGCCGCCGACGCATACTCGAAGACAAATCGACACGTCGGTCGACTTTCGACGCGTTTYCTCGGGTCATGCGAACGGCGTTCAAGGAGACTAGGAAAAAAAATGACCGATTCCAACCAACAATATGTCAGTGAACACTACGTTTCGGCCAAGTACCGCAGCTTCCGCCATGCYTCCACTTGGTAAACGCGAAATGGAACAATAGTCGTTTTATGACTTGCTGTTACCGACCTGCAGTGGACACCGATCGTCAGCTAACCCCTAGCCACTACTCAACAGCTAAAACCAAAACTGCAGTAGGTGAGTGTGATCCAAAATGTCTGCAAGCAGTCTCCTTAATATTGATGTATTACTGTTGTTTCAGTTAATTTTTAACGTCTATCTTATTCAAACGACCACAGTTTGTCAGCCATTGATAGTGCCCCTATTAATTACCTACTCATTGACCACCATAAATATATATAAATAGACAATCCATTTTTATTTTATAAAATGTAATTGCATTAGTAGGTAGGTACTAGGTACTTGATAAACAATGGTCATCCAAGAACAAACTTACAAGAAAATATTCTGGACTTTCTATTAAAACGCATCGAGTCTTATTTTCTTCATTCTCTTTAGTTTTCCTATGTTATTATCTTATTTAACCAATTAAGACTCACAAAAGTTGTGTCATTAATTTAATAATATAATATACAAAGAAAAAGGCAATATTTAACACTAGCAGTAGGTATTGATGTATCAATTCCCATACCAATTTATCATTTTCACAAGACAATTGCGATTGTATTAGTAGGTGTATATAACATGCAGAATTTACCTGATCGCGCATATATCTTCCTAATATAGTAATATTATTACAATTTTATTCTGGTGGTTAAACCAAAGTAAATTTCAATAATGAATTTAAACGTTATCTTCAGTAGAGTGTTATCAAGCTTTAATTTTTAAGAAAACCTTACACTAGATCATTCTACCTATATTAACAAGAAATATAAAAACAATGTTTGTTTAATATAATATTCCAAATTTTTTTTTAAATCTTAGTATTAAATTAGTCACATAGACATGTAAATTAAATCAAACACTTTTTTGTAAAATGAATAATCTATTCAACATTTCAGTTTATTTAATGATATACTTAATTATTACCTACCTATATAATGTGACCATTTTAAATTATTGTCTCTATCTTGTAAGTGTCCAGACAAGAAAATTAAAAAAAAAAAATGTTTACTTTGATGATAAAATAAGTAGGTACTATCAGTGTGTTATTAACTCTGTTTTAAATTATTTTTTATTTTCATTTAAGGTAGTTGTGAAATTTAAATTATCTTTCAAGTCATTGTAAAGTATTTTATGGAATTATCAATAATGAATTCCATCTWATTAGGTGCCTATTCATAAAACAAATCCAACATCATTCTTAAAATAATAGTGATGTTTTCAAATGTTATATAATAGCAGCTGGCGGTGTTAATAATTTAAAATTATGTAACATTCAAAACCAAATTTAGTTTTTTTTACATAGGCACCTAATCAAAATTATTGTCCAATAGTAATTTTCAAATATATAGGAATACRATATTTTGATATCCTATTAGATAGGTACCAGAGTTTAAAGTGGGAAAAAATTCCAGAAGGGACTAATGTCTCCATTTAGTTTTAAGCTTAAAGCTCTTAGTTTTAAGATATATAATTTTATGTATAATGTCTAATGTATAAAATCCTAATTTGTTAAATGGGACGCTTTTTAACCGCCTTCAGAGGTAAGGGGACTGATTTCTCCTGCATCCCCCCCCCCACTTTAATTCCTTATAGGTACCTAATTATTATGCAAAAGTACCTTATATTGATCTATTAGTTTTTTTTTAATTTCAGAAATTTAGGTACCCAGGTAGTAGATGCCATATCTATTATCCTATATACCTTAGGTATTCAAACTGTGCGTAGCGGCTCCCAAATAATAATTAATTAACTTTGCGTATTTTATCTACACCAATTTTATAAATTAACAGCTGTATTTGTTTTACCAGTGTATTAATAAATAATAATAGAGAGGACCTAAATCATTGATGCAATTGATGCATTTTAAACTGCCTATTATCAAATTTAATTTTCTGATTAGTGATTATAATAAAATTATGTATACAAAACATTACATTATTGATGCATTATAATCTCATTTTTTCCATGCCAGTTAAATTGTATAATGTGTAAGTATAAGTTACTTTTAATATTGAAAGTTAAAGTTTTTTGAATGGTTAGATATAAACCTGATTATAAATTAAAAGTTTTATTTTATTAAAATAATTTAATCAAAATAATAAAACATAATGATTTTGGTACCTATATTATACTTGACGTTGTAGTTATATATAATATCTACATAATTAAATGCAAATTATTGAAGATCTTTATTAGCCTATATGTTTAATTAATTTATTTACAGATGCAGATATAAAGTTAGATATTTTTAGCACAATCAAATTACAAAATAAAAAACTTATCCACCTAGTAGGTATATCTACGTAATTATTTTATTGATAATTCATAAAAAAATATTTTTCCTTTTGAAATAACAAAAAAATAATACATACCTTGGTACTTAACATAATTTATTCCGACTGGTATGTTTATCATAATCTTCAAGACATCTATGCAAATACAACCATGTGTGATTTGGAATTTCAATCAAACGTTTTGGCCATAAACATAATAAGTAATAAGTGATAACCTGCAAAAACTAAAATTTTTTTTAAACTATGAGTTACCTATAAATTAAAATTATTTTATTWTAAAAGAACATGCCTAATATCATGTTTATTAAAAATGATTCAAGTAGTTTATTTTTGATTGTTTTAATTTATTTTTAAAATAATYTAATGACAAATAAGCACATTAATTTATTACTACGTTTATATGATGGCATTAAAACGGCTTAAAAAATGTAAACCGTTTTAAAAGTTAAAATGCTTGCACTATGTAGTTTAAGCATTTCAAACTGTTTTAACGCCWTCATATAAACTTAGTATATGATTACCATGTAATATATGTACTTATATCAAATATRTGTTTCAAATATGTAATAAATAGAAATTATACCTATTCTTAACTTTTGTTGCATTTAAATTGAACTGCTACTAAGYATACATTGTCATGACACCTATATTGATCTATAAATCTATTACCTATAAGGGTAAAACATTTTAAAATATTAGATACCCTAATAACCTATCTGTAACTATAACAAAATTTTTTAGGGAGTAAATTGTTTCTAACAAATAAGATACATATTTTTTTAAATATAAACATATCCTGTCAAATAAAAAAAAACTGTATAAAATTATAACATATTATAATAATATTCTCTTGTATAAATTGGTTGTAATTGAAAATTGGTCAATTTAGTATTTTCTTTAATAGACAATCACTGATTATATGGAACACGAGTAATGCTCATACTTACTTCAGTCGGAACATAGTTAGATATGTTGCATCCTCTTATAACTTAATTTACCATTGTGTAATCCTTACTACAGGGAGGTGGTTGTTAAAAACGAGGAGTAAATCAATTTCTGACCAATCACAGAGTATCATTGTCATCAACTTAAATGAAATAGAGTATGAATATCATTCATAAGAACTTTATTTAAAGGTCACTAAATTTACTTTTATTTAATACAGATTGTTTTGTAATTGTAAATTGATTTGTTATTGTTTTTATGAATCAAATAACCTAGGTAAATAAATGGATAGAAATTAGAAAGCAATTTAATTAAGTTAAAAATTATTTTTCTTTGAAATTCAATAATGATAAATCATGTGTTAATTTCTTATTATGAGTAGATAGGTAAATTTTCATTGTTTTAGGAATAGGAAATTATTGTTTGAAAACAATTACATTTGGTATAATATTTTATCAAAGAATATCAAAAATTACATTTTGAATAAAAATATATACCTCACTTTCTCAGGTTTCATAAAATGTCTGTATAGGTATAAATATTGTTTGAATATGCAAGCTCCATATTTATTGATTACCTATCTATACGTAATTTATTATATTATGTAGTCATGTTATCTAAAGTTATAAGAGCAATTCAAAATTATATTATCTACATAAAAATAATTAAAAGCCTAGACATCAAATGTCAGCTTTTTCCACACTCTTGGTACAAAATTAAAACACAAGTAGCTATTTTATCTCTATAGGGATACTCAGGATGACAATATGAGTTTTGAAAGCTGAAATAATCTCATTTTATAATGAGACTAAGAATAACTTGTCAAAGTGCAAGAGTTAAGAGYTCATTAATTGAACTGATACAAAATTATTTAATGTTATATGTGTATAACCTATTTTAGTACTTAAACTGTAACACTATCAATAATTAAAATAATATACTTTATATTAAAATTGTATTGAGGGAGCCATAATATATTGTATTATTAAATATTAATAAATAATATTAAATACATTATATATACATGAATGGTTATAAAAATAGTTTATACTAACTAGTATTCATCATTTTTAGAATGGCATCTATTAATAATACAGAAACAACAATGGATACTATAGAAGTTATCACACAACGGGCTATTACACAATCAAATCCAATATTTTTACAAACTACAGCTTGCCAAGTGATTGCTGGGCTATTTGTTTGGACAGCAGTATTTGTTACATGCCAACAGGTAAAATTTAACGTATACACAATCATTATTTTTAACAAAAAAGGAGGAATGTTTTAAAAAATGTATTCTCTAATTTATTATTCTTCTTATTTTTGACACTAAATTAATTATCGATATTTTATCAATTTATTTTATTTCCAATCTTTATAGTATTAAAACTTTGAAATTTATTAGAATATTGCATAATTACTTCTTAGAACTCTATTTATTAATTTTTTATTTCAAAATGTTTTAATATTATCATTATTTCCTGTTTATTGAATGAWATTATTAGAAATCCTTGTTTCTTTTCATTTCATAGAATAAATTGTTTGAAAATTATTCCATGACAGATTAATTATGATGGAGGAAAAGAATATAAGCTTAACTAAGTTTTCACAATGTTATTTGATAAGTTATAAAATTAAATTTTTTATGATTACAGGTAGTATAACTCATTTCATAAAATAGCAAATATTTTATTGAATTTAGTTTTGAATCAATATTTTTTTAAATAATTTTTTTCCTCGCAATATGTTAAAACGGTAAACTGTAGGTATAAATACCTAATTTCATTAAATATATCTTAGTTGTGATACCTAATATTGATCAGATTACAAATAACCAGTGTTTCCCAAACTGTTGGAAACATCCATGCAAGAAGGATGGAATGTAAAAGTGTTTAACTCATATTTTAAACATATTTATTTTATTTATCTTATAGGTTAAGTTCATCATTCTACATGCCCAGTTTAATCAAATAAATAAATCATTCATTTTTTTTCTTTTAAATTTATTCTGGGGATGGCTGAAATTTTTGAAAATTTAATGAGGATATACTATAAAAAAGGTTGGAAAACACTAATATAGACTATATTATAATAATATGTTAAGGTACATACTACATAATAATAATAACAATCATATTAATAATAATGGCGTGTCTAATGTAGTAATGACCCAAGGTTCTGGTACCAACTGTCAAGGTGAATTGTGGCTTTAGTTGTATTTTATATTTATTTCTTTCGTGGTAATTTTCACAAAATATTATTTCGTTTTTAGTGATGCCAAACCACATCACATTAGTTATCATATTTTAATAAGTCTATTTGAATAATATTTATTTTTTTTATATCACCTACCTTATGTGATATTGGCTGTTTTTTGTTACAATAATTGATTGTATTAAGAACATTTTAAACCTGATTTGTATAAAAATGTATTACACGGTTATTTTATCTGCGCAATACTGACATCCAGTGATTAGTTCTGGGAAAAAAAACTATAAGTACAGTTATTGCAGCAAAATTGGTGACAGTAAAAAAAAAAATAATGAATTACATTTAAACAAATTACTTAGTCATTACTAATAATTTTATTGCACCTAATTATTGTAATATGTCTTCAGAATAATGTTATTGTTAACTAATAAGTAATAACTATAAAATCTATGATTAACATTAAATGTTAATATTAGTGAATTAATTATGATATTTTTTTTATTAATGTTAATAAGTTAGATAGAATTGTAGAGATATGTCTGTCTAATGTATAAATAAATACATTTGAATAACACAATAGTTCAGTACCTATATTATTTATAGGAGTATAGGACTCAAGATACATTTGCATATTTTTTTAAGAATTTGAAATTATAGCAAAAGCAGAATAAGCTATAAATTATTTTAATTCTAAAAGGAATTCAGAAAAAAAWTTTTTTACCCTTTTTGTATATTTTGAACTTGTTTTGCACGTTTTTGATATTTTTGGATTATTATGTTGTCGTCTACTAAATTGTACAATTTTAATTGATGCCACTATTTTTTTTGTGACCACGTCTCAATGTTTTAGTTTATGACTGCTTTATGGCTTGTCATTATAAATGTACACATACTAAACAACCAAATTACTTTAGTTTTACTAATGAATTAGGTAGATATTCATTTTTTTAAATTCCTTCCTCCATCAATGTGTTTATAAAATATGAATTATTATAATTTATAAACCATTCATTGGAGAGAATGCATTTCCTTCCTAGTATTCTAAATGTGTCTTCTTGTTCTTTCTTATTCTGGTGAACAATATTTCTAAAACATATTTTTTGTTGTTTAAATTAAAATTAAATTTTAAAAATATGGATAATTTTACTACTACTATGTACTGTACTAATTGTAATTAGAAATTACTACAAGTTGTTTATACTTTGAACAAATAGTATTGTTTTTATTCAGTTTTCAAATTATTTTTATTTTTAAATATTTTTCGTGATTAAAATTTTTTTTAATGTATTTGGGACAGTGGCGAATTTGAGGGGGGCGACGTGGCGATTACCCCTCCCTRGGGAATTTTTTTTACTTAAACTATAGCGCCGTATGATAAAAAGAATATGAAATTCATAAGTCATATCTATAACATTAAACTTATGAATAAATGATACAAAAAAAGGTATTTTTTTTTAATATGAAAATCGGAAACGTGTATTCGGTTACGTCTTTGTTATTAGTTATTACCTATCAATCTATGAGACCAATTGGCCCCCTCCTCAAATGATCTTCAGATCCGCTACTGATTTGGGATGTATTATTCTTATTATTTWGTAGGTATAGGATTATAGAAATAATTCAATTTTTTTAGTTCTCAGGCGGTTTAAAAATATATTTATTGTACAGTATTTCTAATCAATGTAAAGTACTCAATTATGACTCGATAATAGCCTTTTAAATTTACGTATTTTTGCAGTTAGTGCATAGCTWAATATTATGAATTTAAATAACTCCAATTGATAGTAATAAACAGTCCACTTTACTATTTATTTCATAATATTGCCATAGGGAATATCTTTATAACGTTCAACCTAACCTAACCATAGTATCATCGTATTCTATTTCTTTGGTTTTTACTCTTACGAAAAATTATATCCGTTTTGCTTTGTTTATTTTTTTCGTTTTATTACACCATTTGTTATACAAATTCCGAAAAACTCGTTAATAAAGACAAACGTATTACATTTTTTTTGTCTATTTGCTTTTAAACGTGTAATTTTATGAATACAAACATACTAAATTGCAATTTTTCACAGCAACATTGCAATATTTTTTAAAATTTGTTTAGTTCAATAACTTCCAAGTTTTACTCATATAAGTAATAAGAATGTAATTTTGAAGCTGCTTGTATTGTATAAATTAGTTAAAATGATAACTTAAAAGAATTTTTTTGTAATTAAATAATATCCTTTATTAAATATTTAAGATATAATGAATAAATTCTACGAGGTTCACTAGAAAAATATTGCTTTTGTTCATTTTTATAAAAGGTTTTCTTATAATTTATGTTGGATTTTGGTGAACTATTTTTTTGCCATATTATGTGTTCCTCGTTAAATGTATAGTGAAATAACAAAACATGATGTGTTGTCCTCTTAAAAAATGTCCTGTATGACTTGCTTAGTGCAAAGTGACAGACAGTCATAGTCAAATAGAAATTCTATTACCTATTGTTGGTGTTCTAAAGTCATTTCGATATTGCCTAATACCTATGTTATACCAATTTTAACTATTGCAATAGTTTTAATAGATCACACAAAGATCAATGAACTTCGTGATTCAGTGTCATAAAAATGAATTATATTATATTTATATAGGTGCAATTCTATGATAACATAATAATTAATAACTGCTTAAACTTGCAAATAACCCACATATGTTGGCATGTTGCTATATTCTACACATCGCTATGTTAACAAAAAAACAATTATAGTTTATAATTATTGCTTGAATAGCGAATTTTCATAAACTTTAATATTGATCACTAAGCATAACAAATTAGCATAAAATAATAGGGGCCACTGACTAATTGAGCTGTATTTAAATTTGCACTTAGCATTAACATTTAAAACAAATTGTATTCATATTTTTTAATCGATCTAATTAATATCTTTTTTGTTAAAAAAATACATAGTGAATGATAATTATTTTCGCGAAGTTATTACGTAGGCATATCTCATGTTATCCATTAATCCATAACAATATTATATTAGATTTTTATAGTCAATGACATTTTAGTAATAAAATGGTCCCTAATGATTATTATTTATTGGCTACTACTTACTAGTAGGTACTTGTAATTTATTGTCAATATAATTCTTTCATTATGCTTATGGAATATCCTACTCGAAAATGCCCGATAAGATATTAATTTATAACGGATAAATATGATATACAGTTAAATTTTTATCGATTTATTGTTCTTATTTGTATTTGTGACATTGTGTACCCATTCTATAACAACGTTTCTACATATTATTTATATTATTATGCTTTGATGTAGTGTACTTGTATTCTTAATGAATATTATGTGTACACGATAAACCTAAAATACGTTCTGTTAGAGACTTTTTAAACGTGTACGTTTTTTACTAACGAGTCATTAATGAATAGTGTGTTGACGTTGAGTATGTTCTAATTAAAATGATAAGTATCTACATTCTACACACTTAATTCAAACTATATGTATTTAAATATTTCGTGCAATGATCACATTCATTTATTGGAGTAATCTAGAAATTATAGAAATCCTTAGAAAAAATATTATATTTTCTCGTGACAAAAAATCTTTATACCGGGCAWTAAGGGTTTATATTATTAAAACAATGAATGGCATTCGATTTMTCTCGACATTTCGACAACCACATTTTTAAATAGTTTCCACCAGAATACGATTTCAAAATTTATTATGTAGTTTTCGATTCAGAACAATTTTGTTTATATTTATGTGGTGTTTTCAAAATATCACTAAATTATAATACTTAGAAAGTTTGAATTTATAGTTATCCATAATAAAGTATTGACAATTGCAATACAGTTATTCAGCTTGTTATTGAGGTCAATAGACCGTAACATTTAAAATCTTTATAAATACATGAATTTTGTTTTTGTGGATAATATAGAGATATTGTCTAAATTCTGATAGGTSTTGAAAATTTAGCCATGTGCCGTATAAACTTATTAAATAATTGTAATTTATCTTTTTCAGATATATTATCACCTACGATGGAACACGAATCCAGCGGAGCAGCGATGGATTATCCGAATATTGTTTATTGTACCTATTTACGCGCTACACTCGTGGGTTAGTTTGTTGTTCTTCAACAACGAACACTATTACGTCTACTTCTTTACAATTAGAGATTGCTACGAAGGTACTTAAACACACATTTAACAAAACAAAAAATGAAATAACTATAGAATAATGAGACTATATTTTTGTTTGTATCATGTATAAATTGCATTGTATTTTTTTTTTCAAACAGCTTTCGTGATATACAATTTCATGAGTTTATGCTACGAATATTTGGGCGGTGAAGGGAATATAATGAGTGAAATTCGTGGGAAACCTATTCAGTAAGTTAAACAGACCTATGCAAAATTAATTTCCATAGTGGTTTACATATATATTTTAATATATGTATATTGTATATACTGCAGGATGATCCATTTATAGTTCGGCTGTTTATGGCTAGACTAACTGTAGAAATAAATTTTTGTATTTTTTTTCATAAACACAAAAAGTTCAGAAAAATAGTGTAGCCAGGCAAATAAATTATCCCATATATTAATATATTATGTAGTTGAACAATTTACTATATAATGTAGTGTTTATATGTTTACTAAAGTCTACCTTTGCTACCGTATACCATATTATATTGTGTGTCTACTCATATTTAATATAAATTACTAATTGCATAGTTATAATTCTTTTCTCTGTTTTTATTAGGTCTAGCTGGCAATATGGAACTTGTTGTTTGACAGGACGTACTTACACAATTGGGTTCCTACGTTTTTGCAAGCAAGCAACACTACAGTTTTGTTTGGTAAAACCTTCAATGGCTTTTGTCATTATATTTCTGCAATATGTTGGGCATTATCATGATGGCGATTGGAGGTAATGAATTTAAAACTATTATTTTATGTTTAAAACACTTTAATCAAATTTGTGTTTTTATAGTATGAATGGTGGATACTTGTATGTCACAGCCATTTACAATATGTCTGTCAGCTTAGCACTTTATGGATTGTTCTTGTTTTACTTTGCTACTCGAGATCTCCTAATACCCTTTGAACCAGTCTTAAAATTTTGTACCATTAAGAGTGTGATTTTCCTGTCATTCTGGCAAGGTGAAAATAATCACTCAGTACCATTGTAAAATATGTAATATTTAATAACCATTTGTATTATACATTCAAGGTGTATTACTGGCAGTCTTGGAAAAAGCTAAATTTATAGATCCTGTCATAGATTCCAGTGGCCAACCCACTAGTGCTGGTACAGTATCAGCTGGCTATCAAAACTTTTTAATTTGCATTGAGATGCTGTTTGCTGCATTGGCTCTAAGAGCTGCATTCCCATATGAGATATATGCTAATAATGCACAAACAGGAACAGGAAATCCATCTAATTCGCGTACCGTTACAATGCAAAGTATTTCTAGTAGTTTAAAGGTGAGCCAAATAAAAAAAATCATAAACTTATATATTTTATACWGTCTATGCAAAGAACGTCGTTCACACGTTCACATTCATAGTTAGTGAACGATACGCGAATGTCACAATTTTTTTTCAAATAAAACGTGAATATTAAACGTTTATATTTTTAATGAATTTGAACAATTTCTAAGATATTCTAGTTATTTACTATTTAATAAATATATGTATTTAATTTAAATACTTTAAAAAATGTATATGCTCTAAAGTTTAAATTGTGTTTTTATTTTTGGATTACATCCTATAATATGTTTATTGGTTTTTATATAAACTGCTGGTAAACTATTAATATAAATTAATTAATTAATATAAACTATTCATAAACAAAAAAATTAGATGAATGACATAATGAACGCATACACATTCGCTTTAAAAAATATGAGCGTGAACGAGTTCCTTTTTTAGGACTGAACGTGAACGTTCCGAATTCTGATTTTATTCTAACTATGTCTGTTTATTCTGTATGACAAGTTTATATTTCCTACGAATTACTACAAATATTTGTTTTCTTTTTCAGGAAACAATGAATCCAAAAGATATAATGACGGATGCCATACATAATTTTCATCCACAGTATCAACAATATACACAGTATAGTTCAGGTAAGATGTTTAAATTTTACATAGCATGTGTGTGAATTTTTATTTTTGATTAGCTGTTTGTATAAGGCTCTTTTAATATTGTTTGATGGCAATACAATTTAGAATTTCATATAGTTTTTTTTTTTTTTTTTTATTTTGTTATCCATTTTTTAGCTATTTTTAAAAAATACGTGTTTTAGTTATACATATAATATTTATTTTAAAAATTATTTCTTTAAAAATATTTT